CCAATTACTTCTCCATTAAGCAGTGCTGTTCTGCAGAAGGGAGTCTAATAGGAAGGGCAGCATTCTCTGCTAAGGCAATTCACAGGGCGTCAGTTTCTTGCTCCAGGATTCAGTTGCGTGCATGAAGCCTCCTATCCAGGTTGCTGCTCACAAAGTATCTCAGTAACCATTTCTGATATACCTGAACCGAAGAAATCTTACTATTTTGTGTGAAATATAGTTACGTGAAAAGCACAGCTATGTAACTGTCTCCTTTTACTTACTTCTGTCAACTGGTTCACAGAAATTGTGTTCTCCAGGTTTGTAAATGAGAAAACACACCTGACCTGATACTCTTTTATTTCTTGTGACATTGAAAATTGTCACTGTTACTGCAACCTCTCTTTGACCTACTGTTTCTCTGGATGTAGTACCTGTGTGATGCACTTCCTCCTTCCTGGAAGGAACATTACCAGTACATTTTCCACATATGTATTTTGAGACCATCTTTAACTCAATGGCCAGGAGGGTCCCATGCTCACAAGGTCTGTTCTTGTTTTACTCTGGAATACATGCTCACAGCTAAAACAGTGTCTTAGCAGTTGCTCAAAAAATGTTTGATGAATGTGTATTCTTTCCTTTTTATACCTGAATTTTAAACCACTGGTTCACAAATATCCAACACTGCTCCTTATAAACAATCTATTTTTAAGCACCCCAAACTGATTGTCTTGATGTAGCCTAAATTAAATGTGGCAAATGCATTTCATTCTTCTCTATGTCTCATTTTCCAAAGGCTGTGGCCAATGCCACCTCACTGATTTCCTAAATTGGAAATTTTTACTTTATACACCAGTCTATTTGCCAAATTATGTTTTGGCCCCTACTCCACATTATATCTTAAATATACCTTATTTTTTTATTATTAATGACATAGATTTTGTATATTTCTGGACAATCCAGAGGCAGGACTATTTTAACCTTTTGATTTACTAAACTTAGAACCATTTTCCCAAACAATTCTTCCTGTTGCTAGCAAAATTATTTTCCTATCATCGTTTTGATCTATTCTTTGGTCTCTGTAAAGGTTTTCAATTCATCTAACTAACTGAATTGAGAAGTAGTAGTGAGCAAGCATGCAGACTTGGAATCAAATTGCTTGGGTACAAATCATCTTACTAGCTGAGTAACCTTAAAGAAGTTCTTTCACTTCTGGTTGCTAAATTTTCCCTTATGTAATATGGGGATGACTACAGTGCCTTACTCATAAAGTTGTGAAGATTCATATGATAACACAGTACAAGGTAAGTGGTAACTGTTTGACAGCATCTCTTACCATTTTTATTATTAAGGTCCTATATTGATCCAAACCCTGCCAAAGACTACAGTGGTATCCCTGAACTATAGCACTATAATTATACAACCACTGCTAGATCTCCCTAATATTACCTGAATCTACATCAACTGGCCCGCCATTGGTTACATCTTAGACAAAAGGCTGTGGTCCTTGTATGCACTGGGTACTGCCTGGTGCTGACTGATGCTCTTGCTTTATTCTCATATCCCGCTACCCTGAATCTTCTCCTATAGCTTGTTTCTGGGACATTGCCAAATTGCCTGCTGTACCTCAGCCTTGTTTATAGGTCCTTATAATTTTCCATCTGGTGATTCCTTTCACAGATATGGACAAATTAAACTATGTGCATTAAACATCTGAATTGTACATGAATTAACATAAGAATTGGGATACGGAAACAAAAATACGTGGCATAAAAATAATCAGGGTAACTCCTTTTTAAAGCCTGGTAATAAGAAATTTCAGCAGGTGATCTCCTTTTTCATTTTACTCTATGGTAAATATGTTATTACAAGCAATATCTTTATCGGAGTATACACCATGGGTATGAAAGGCACCGAACAAAGCCAGAGATTTAATACTCTCAAGGTATGCATAAACGGCCGCTGACATGCAAGTTTTGGATGCTCTCAGTATGTTTATGAAACAGCTCACTGAAGCAAGCACTGAGAACCAGATTCAACTGAAGTCTACCCAAGGCAGCAATTTAACAGAAACTAGGATAACGATTACAAAAATTATAACAAGCTCTCTTGAAAGTTCATTTCTGTCCTCTCCCAAAATCAGAATAAAAATGGAGAGCAAAAGTACCTTTCCCCCTGAAAGAAATCTGATGGGCAATGCAGCAGGCTCTTTCTGTCAGCGATTAGTCTCCCTAGAAATCACCTGCTTGAGTTTTTAATTAGTGACTTTAGCTCCTGTGTCAGAAAATATATTTTTCTTCACATGCCCTGGGCCCACTGACATCTCTGACTAAAGTTCCAGTCCGTGAAGGGGCTCAGTGGAGTCTGGGCACTTAGAGAAGCCCCACATTATGGTTCCACAAAATACAACTTTAAAGTCATGGAAGAGAGTTCTCATTTTTCATGCTTGGCTTTCAGAGCACACTTACGGTTATATGGTGTGGAGTAAAATATTTCAAGTGACAAGCTGATAAAATAGAGTATTTGATAAAATAGCACAAATAATATGCACATCCACATATGTTCACTTAAAAGAAAAGTGGCGCTGTGGGTTCCAAGTGGTAACAAAAGGGGCTCTGTCTATATGTGGCTAGTAAGGGACTTTTGAGGTGACTGCAGAAGACATGAATTTTCAAAGGAACATACTATTTTTCCTTTATCCTAATGGGTAAATTTGGTAAGTGCTAGCAGACACACATAGTCCTATTTTGGCTCTTCAACAGAATATGATCTTAACCATATCTTTGCTTTTAATCGTTAAAGCTCTCGGAATCAACTGAAATCAAAAGAACATTCCAGAAAACTAAGGCAATGTTTTGCTTACAAATCACATCTTCATGTAACTAGAACATTACATGACTGGAAACTATAGATTTATAATTGATTCTAACTAGAAAAGTCTGCACGTGCGCATAGTCTGGGTCTTCCCACTGCACACACAGTTTTAGACATTTTAAATTCCCCTTTGCCAGCTTTGTCCTAATGCCTGGAAAATGCTGAGGTTGCAAACAAAAAATGGAAATATATGGTGTTCACGTTTGCTATCTCACTCATCCATTAGCTTTCTTTCATTGAAATTTCTAGCCCTTCACTATTTCTCTGAAATTCCACAAATAAAACTAGAATGCTGGGAGAAGGGGGACAGAAAATTAATTAAAATGTATTCTCTTTGTGAACTATTTGATTTCTAAATGATTTAAAAATCTGTTGTCCTCAAGGGTATCAGAAGCCGAGTGAAATCTTCAAAGTATTAGTAGGCATTCAAACAACATTACAAATACAGGGATGTAAATATGTATTTGCTACATAAATATTATTTGATGATAAAATTTGTTTTACTTTTTTTCATCTGCATTTTTAAAAGGCACTAGCATCTTGGCCCCTAGGAATGTGAATAAACAAAGATCTAAGAAGTCTCAGTGCCCTCAGAATTCCTAGGACTAATGTTAAGGGAAAGAGAATATAAGAGCTCAAAATGGGGTTTTTAGCACCCAGACACTCTGGCTTAAAGTGTGGCTTTCTACTGCATAACTTTAATTTCTAATCACTTCCTAATTTTGATGAGTATTTACATTACGTTAGGTATATACAGTGTGCATATAAAATGATATGTTTTATTAATGTCCATAGAACAAATTTATAATGAAGCAGAGATCAACAGTCCTCCTGAAAGTCGCATTAAATCCTATTCCATTGCTAGGAGGAAGAAAACATAGCGACCTATTTACTGCAGACATTAGGAGGCTATTTCTCTCTGGCTGTCTAGGGATTTATATGACATGTCTTGAGTGTGTACTGGAGAAGCGATGAAATGCGAGGCCGTGGTGAGGGAAAGTGCCTGAGTAATGTGTTGGAGTGAGTCCACACAACTCCGTTGCTTATATTTTTACCTTCACAGGCACAACTGCAGCTGAACAGTCATTAGGAGCTGTGCGGTGGTTTGTCTTCTCCAAGGGCATTACTCACCTTCAGGTCGCGATGGACCACGCCCATCTGATGGCAGTGTAGCACAGCCTCCAGGATCTGCTGAATGCAATGACTGCATGCAAACACCAGGGGGCGTGTGTTAGTTCCAAGCGTACACTCACTGTCTGTACACCCTCAGCGAGACTGGGTTACGGTGCAGAGCCAGCGGACAACCGGGCTTGTATCGTGCCACCTTCAGCAATGTAAACACATTGCTCGAGCAGAGCGACTACTACCTCAGAGCAGTGAGGATCTTGCCAGACGTGAGCCAGAATGTGGACCCACTTGTCCTAGAAAAATCCATTTTGAAAATACTTCATTCCATTCAGGAGCTCACTTCCTGGTTATAAATTCTTCCGGGAAATGAACTGGAACACAGATACAATCTTTGTAGCTGTTGTCCTCAGCTTCCACTCCCATGCACAAACACTGTTTCCTGATTCTCACCCATTTTTCCAGGATCATTCTAAAAGCTGTCACCTTAGCAAGCAAGGCACCATCCAGGTTAAATTAGGATACATTAATGAATTTTTGATAAATCATTAACTTTTTGTACTTTAATTTAGCTGGCAATTATTATCTCTTGCCTAAGGGTTCGTCAGACTCAAATGGAGCAATGCGTAACCAGTTGTTCTGCTACAGCAACCCATGGTCTCAGAACAGAAGTGGTGTTTAAATCTACAGGCGCACATACATCACAGGCCAAGTTTATCTCCAGGCAAATGCTGGACGACTCAAGAAAGCCTGCCCCCAAACCTCCTCTGGAGTTTGCTGTTTGGAAACTTAACAAGTTGTGTTCTTAATATTGCCCTTTCCTTTTTGCTATGATGTATATTTAGCCTGTAGATGAGCAAACTGAAAGAGGCATCATGCATTATCATTTCATCATTTATTCATTTTAGGAAAAAGTTGGGAAAGGCAAGGGAACCATTTAAAATACCCACCCTCTGCCCTTTCCCCAGAAAAAAACAAAATAAAACTCCTTTGATTCAGATTTATGGACTCCATATACTGACCTTCAGGTCCCTGTGAACTATGCCATTTAGGTGACAATGATTTACACTTTCTAGAATCTGCTGTATACAATGACTGCAAAGATACAAGGGCAGAATGGAAGGGAGAACATTTTAAAGGCACATAATCACATTGAATACAAAATAAAATGAAAGTTCAAACGGAACAAACAAACAAACAAAAATTATATTCTTCACAGTTTTTTTTTTAGCTTTACACTGGAATTAAAGAATGCTGAATAAAGCTAATTCTGGTTCTAACAAAAATGACATCCAACATAGAATTTGTGACATGTTCAGACAAAACAATTTGAGCTGTGTTTTTTTCATTGTAAGTCTACAAACGAAACCATGTTGATACAGGTGTTGAAATTTCCATTATCTAGAAGGAAAAATTTATAAATAATTCCCATAATGTTCTGGGAAATTTTTTTAGAGATTAAAATGTCCAGGTATTTCTTATACACATCTAAACTGTTTAAAATCTGAGGTCACAATTAAACATAGGTGTTGAAACAAGAGGGTAAACACAGATGAAGTGGCGGGTGAAACGAGGGTCAAAAAAAAATGGAGGGAGACATTTACCGCTTTGACTGAGAGTGTTGCTTTTTGCAAAATATATAATAGGAAAACGAATACAAGTCTCCAGTATTACAGGGGGAATTTAAAGTAAACCTGTGCATAAAATAAACCCTTCTTTCGTATAAGAATACTCTGGGGAAGGGCTAGGAAGCTTACAAAAGATAAATAAATAAAATCTCAAAATCCCCTGGGGCACTGGTGATTGTTCACCCCATGTCCACACACTTCAGTGAAGGGAAACTTGCGCTTATTACTATGTCAAAAGGCACATTTTATGCTATCCTTATTAAAGGCTCACTGATGTCGAATAGACCGCTAACTAAATTAGAGAGGAGAAATCGCTGATCAGCACCTATAAGGTCCCATGAGTTGTCATCTGACACACAATAAGGTAGAACATTACACTGATGAATTTGGTACGAGTTCACTGTGTAGTTCAAATACAAGTACATACAGAACCAAATTTATTCAATCAAGGATGATGCAGACATTTTAATAAGGACATTTTCAACCATTTAACAGAAAACAGTATTACTCTAAAGGAAATTCTTGAACTAAAAAAAACCCATCATTTGATTTATTACAATGTAAATATCACAAAATTGATCATGATTGTGATTTCTAGCTCTAACTCTATTAACAGTACCACAAAAGAGCCTTACATTGGTTGTTGTTGACTGCTTAGCTTATTTGAGTATTGGTTTATTTTTAAACCATAGGATGGACCCTTTTCCCCTTTATAATAATGTTTGCTGTATACTACTTTTTAGGAATATTTCTCTTTCTTTTCTCAAACCACAAGCATACATTATTGGGCCTAGGGAACAAAAGCAAATAAAGAAGTAAACAATAATTCATATTAAATCAACTTTACCATTTTTTACTAGTGAGGATGGATTCAATTCTTAAATTCTTAACTAGTAAGAAAATAGACTTTCACAATTTTTTTGACTAATATCCTCTTTATGCTTGCAGTTAGCAAGAGAATGTTTCTTTTCCTTGATTTTGTGGGAGACCTATCCTAAAAATGTCCTATGGTTAATTCTCAAACTTAATATAAGCAAGCATATTAAATGATCCAATCCAAAGGGTCTGTCCTATTATCTATAGGGCTCTTTAACAGTGAAAATAGACTTTATTTTAATTTCAACCAATATTTTTCAAGCATCCTGTTTAACATAACTTTGAAAGGCAAAAATAAATGAAATTCCCTAACTTGTTTACCACTTTGATTAAAATTATTATTCTCTCTTGACAGATGGGCAAATAGCTCCTTCCAAGGCTGCTCTGAGGCCCCCTATGGGGCCCTAATGTGAGGATTTGGGGACATCTGAGCAAGTGATGATTCACTCATCATAGTATTAGTGACGCAGAACTTTCTAGTTGACTTTGGCAGTAAAAAGAAAAAAAAAGAGGCCCATTGAAAAATTAGAGTGTAGTCCTGTATAGATAGATTCACAGAGTTCCCTAAATAACAGCACTAAACCAAGAAGAGAAATTAGAAATTTAGAAGTGAGTCTATGTATGCATGTGCTACTTGGAGGGATGGGGAACCCCAGTATCTGCTGAGGGTCAGGCTATGGTGGGATTAGCAAACTTTAGGAAGCTCTGAAAGCATTAGAGAGTGGGAACGGAGGGTCATTAACTGAATGTTCACAACATTCCATTTACATTGCTAATAATGAGCTAATTGCTCTTGATTAGATTTTTCAAAAGAAATGACAGTTACAGAGCATGTATAAGGAATGCTGAGGAACAGTAACACCATGCAGTCTATAAGTAATATCTAAGCAAGTGGATTAATGTTACTTCCCCCCAAAAATGTTGCTTTTGGGTAGCTTAAGAAGTTTCAAATTAGACAAAATCTTAGCCTTTTTTAAACTTCTGTAAAGATTTCGCCCATTAACAAGATTGAAAAGTTACTCTTGAACCTCTGAAATACCTAAACAAATATTTTTCAAGTCAGAATTCCAAGGGTTTTAATGAAATTTCCAAAGAGTTAAATAGTTAATAATAATGCTTTGAAAAGACCACTGAGGCTTTTTTAGTCTGTTTTCTGAATAGATAACTCACTGTTCAGTGGAACTTTCTGTGATGATGGAAATGCTCTGTGTCTGATCTGTCCAGTTGGGAGCCACCAGCCACTTGTGGCTATTAAGCAGTTGGAATGTGGTTAGCCCAACTAAGAACTGAATTTTTAATGTTATTTAACTTTAATTAATTGGAATTGAAATTGAAATAGCCATGTGACTAGTGACAGTCCCAGCTATCACTGGGACTAGTGGATCTCAAGTTTTGATCTCTGATCTTTGCTTAAAAAAGTACTTTTTAGCAGAAGACATTCCAGTTAGGTGGGGTTTTTTGTCTGTTGTGATTGTTTTCTTTAAACATGTATTCTAACTATAGATGCTTGATAAAAATAAAGTTTAGACCAGATTCATAGAATTTTTTTCTCTAAGAATCATCCTCGAGATCTTGAAAGAGAGAAACATCAGTTAAAAGGGACTCATCATGAGAAGAAGTCCAAGATGGCTTTACGGAATTTCCATGTATTTAACTGTCATGATGCATTTGTAAAGAAACATATTGAACGATGATTGAATGTTGAGTCCTGTATCTTTCCAAGAGCAAGTCACTTACCTGGCATCAGCTTCGCTGTAATATTCTCTTGCCACTATATCTTCAAACAGTTCCCCTCCAGTAACTCTGTGAAGATAAACAAGATAATCAACATTTAAAAAGAAGAAAAACTTAGGCATCCATAGGTTTGCAACTTGTGTTCATAAAGAATTTTGTTCTTAGATTAGTTTTAAAATGATCAAAACAAAGTATTTTAAACATCATGAGACTTACTGTTTGCTAAATCAAATCTCTATTAATGTAAACATTTCCATTTTTTCTGTTTGTCTTTATATCACTAGATCCTGAAATCACAATTTTATGTATGCCATAAATATAGTCAGTCAGCAATATCTTTTACAGAAAATGGTCTTATAAAAGTTTTCATTTCAATTCTCCAAATGTGAATTGATGTCTGAAAAAATGTACAGTTCAGTTTAGAAACGTGCTGAACAAAAGGACAATGGTACACATCACAGCTGTTAAGTATGAGTTTGTAGGCCTATCTCTCTTTTTCCCCTTGCAAACACATGCATATAAATATACATACTTTTCTCACAAAAGTGTAAATAATTAAGCTGGTTACATTTTTCATTTTGCATTAAATCATGGACACCATTTCATATCAAAAGTGTTTTTCCCTATTTAACACAACATAGCAATGAGCAGAGATATGCATGCTTGTATGCTCACGAATGTACATATATACTTTTGCATATTTGAGGGCATTTCTAGAAGAGATATTCTTAGAAGTAAAATTTCTGGGTCAAAGAGTACCCACATTTAAAATTTTCTTGGGAAGACAGGGCAAATTGCCTTCTGAAATGGTTTTACCCCAACACTGTGAAGGTACCCACAGGTCCAAATCATTACTAATAACAGTTATTATCAATCAATAAAAACACCTGATTGTAAAAAAAGTAATCTCATGTTATTATGAATTTTTTGATTATTAGTGAGGTGGACCATTTTCTCATGTATTTATCAACCATTTCTTCCTCTACTGTGATCTGGCTTGATTTTAAAAGGAAATTGCATCTTTGGGTTTTAACCTTGTGATAGCTACCATCTGCTGAGCGCTTATAATGTGCCACAGTGCACTGAGCATTATATTAACTCATAAATCCTGTCATTTACCCTCAGAGGTGGGGTTTATCATTAGCCCAGTTTATTGATGAGAAAATGGAGGTTCAGAAAGATTAACTAACTTGCCCAAAATGACAGAGCTTTTGGTGGCACAGGAAAGGTATCCACTTCACAGACCATGCCCTCAACCATTACGCAGTGCAGCCTTTCCAATAATTACGTTGCCAATTTTTCCAGTTTAGAAAGCATGAGCCATTTGAAAAAGCATGACGCAAGGTACAAAGTTTCACCTATGAACATTACAGAGTGAGATAAAATGACTGTAAGAAGTTTTTCTTTTTTGTTCTCGTTTGCTCTTATGTTTTATTAAGTTTTGCAACATCACCAAGGGATAGCACATTCCAGAGATCACCAGCTATTACTCCCTTCTCTGTTCTCCTTCTCTAACAAATAACGACATGATACTAAAAACTATAAATTTTTCTGAATGTTTATGCAACCTCCATTGCACTCTGAATACTTTTAAGTCCTTTACCGTCACTATTTCCAATTCCATTACTTTTCCATATAAAATGTGTACCTAAAATTATCATATAAATCTTCATACAGGCTTGTTCTGAAAGCCATGATTACATGTCCATGTAATTTCA